ATATATATATATATATATATATATATATATATATATATATATATATGATGTATAGATGTCTAAAATGAATATACATGGAATTTTAATAAACATTTCATCTCGTAATACAAAAAGGTAAAACGAACAAAAAAACATCATCTCAAAAGATCACATTGTAAATATCTCTTTCCAGTTAATGTAAGTATCAATAGATAAAAATCCATCAGATAAAAGTATTGCAAAGAGATGGCACGACAAATTGCTCTATTCCTTATGATTAAGATAATCAAAGTGGGAAGAAGTACGTTCTGAATGATTTATTTGATGGCATTTAACGTTCATCCGATCGGTAAATACATATTAATATTATATAACGACCCAGTTCCCCACACTTTCATATTATAAGATATAACAGAAGCATCCCTAAAAAGGACAGTATCGTACTACAAATTCAGTCTAATAGAAACGATGCAAAGAGCGCTTTTTTAAATTATAGGAATATAAAAACCACATAAACTATACAATAATAACTAATTGATCGAACATATATTATTTTATATTTATACATTATGTGTTTCTTATGTCTCTTTGCAGAACATAAGGAAATAATAGCACAATATAGAAAAGATTAAAATACAAATTGTAGTCCGTAGCAGTCTCGTGCTATTTATCGCTGTGATACAATTAGCCGAGATTGACAAGCGATTGCGATAAAAACCTATTACCGCCTCGCACATTGGCATATCCCTCCTTGCAATCTATCGAAAAGAAATTTGTTTGGGGGCGAACCACGATACTGTGTTACATCTTACGTGTATGACACATTCATTGCAAGCATTATAATACGAAGAGAACGTTTACTTTCATCTCCGTCTACTACGAGCGTAGAATCACTGCAGGATATTTAATTGTCCAGTGTTTGTCGCGTAAACCATCCCTTGACCCGGCTGCGGCGCCCATCTGATGCAATTTAGACTAAGATAATTCGAAACCTCCCGGTTACTTTGCAACAATTCCCGGATAAGCACCATGCTCTCCCTGTGACGTTTGATGTCCATGTCCAGCTCGTTTCTCATCCGAATGTCGCGGATCCGCCAGTCGCGAATATGTCTATAACTGTTGGCTGTAACATTATTTCGTCTTGGTATACTATTCGTAGAAACGTTATCATCGAGCATCTCATCGGAGGAATCGTATGTCAATTCCATGGTCGGATCTGTCGACGAAACATTCTTTTCGTCGTCGGGCTGCTTCTCCTGCAGCTTGTAAATCAGAGCCATCGGGAATGGTCTGGCAGGTACGTGAATCCTGCGTGCCAAACCTACCAAGAGATGTTGTTGCGTAGGTGATATCGAAACAGACACTACCGTTTGATCGATATTGGTCGAATAAATCTTTTCTCCCAGCGTTTCCCATTGCAGGCTGTAAATACCTAAACCGAAAAAGTAAATCGTATAGCTTTAGTCTTTCGACAATTTAAAACAATCGAGTTTTTACTTCATTCTATTTCTTTCAATTTCCATGCCTTTGTCAAGTAATGAAAAAATTTCATAGCAATGCACAAAGAAGAGGGTAAGTTCACATTATTTGTATATTGTTTTACTACCCCTTGTGGAAGAAAAGTTATCGTTTAAAAATATCCCCCTGCAAGATTATATTGGCGTAAAAAAGATGCGATACAAAAATAAGAAATTATCCCTTCAAGATAAAAAAAAGTGCTGAGAACACGCGCCCTGAGAAAGAATCGTTAATATATTTTGAGATATATATATATAGATATATATATACACACATATATATATATATATACACATATATACACATATATACACATATATACACATATATATATATATATACACATACATACATACATACATATATACATACATATTTCATGAATAATGGGGATCAACATGCATTCCTCGTTTACCTAATGTGGTCGTCACATTGATACGACCAGACTGCAAAAGCGTCGCCAGCAATTTTCCATCTGTAGATATGTCAATACTGGCATCGTTATGAATCTTACATTCAGGCACCACGACGTTTTTCTCAGCTGAAAAATCGTATCAGGATATATAAGCATACGCAGAAAAAGAGTATGTTTATGGTTAATAATTTGTATTTGACATTTTATACTAACAGTCCGTAATGTCAGGTATGTCACCATTGGAGAAATCCCATGCTTGAACGCGATAACTCTGAATTTCCAACGCTGGATTGAATGGTATACCCACAGGTATATGATGTTCTGAGAAATTATCTGATTTTTACATCTTCACATGTAGTGTATATGCATGTACACACATTCGAAAATAAATTTTGTATTTAAATGCTATATAGAAAATGATCGATTATTGGTGGCAATTTTATACAAAAAACTACGTGGAAAAAAAAGATGGTAAATCTTTTTGAGGTTTTGTTCTTGAGAAAATCGCAATTGTTAATAACGTATCTTATTATTTTGGAACTTGCATAATTTTCACTAACATAAATTATTCAACGTTATTGAAGTACAATTTGAAAAATTCGACATTTCAAGAACAATAGGAAGTATTTAAAGTTATCGAACAAATATCATTCATCTTATTTATACAGTAAGATAATAAATTTATATTATTTCTTTTTAAACTAAATATTATATTTATGTTCGTACTTGAATAACTGCTGTTGAAATAAATTCATCAATTTTGAGAATCAGTACCTCTCGATTGTACCACCAGTAGAAGACCATTCTGTATGTCGTAATATGTGTATTAACTGTATGTATTTAAAAATTTGAAAATAAGTGGTACCAAAGTCCCAATAATAATCGTTTTCGTCATTTCCTGGATCCTGTCCTCCTCCTCCTCCTCCTCCTGCTCCTCCTCTTCCTCCTCCTCCTGTTCCACCACTTCCACTTCCTCCTCCTCCTCCTGCTGCTCCTGCTCCTCCTGTTCCTGATCCTGCTCCTCCTCCTCCTCCACTTCCTCCATCATCACCACCGCCATTACTGGGATTGGCACCCCCTCCAATTCGTGATCCTGTATTAGTCACGAATTCAGTGTAACGGGGTATCCAGGTGGGCCCAACTCGATTGCGCCACAATGTCAGGAATGTTGGAGTAAACACCTAATACAAAAATTAATAATGATCAAAAAAGATTTAGCCTTCAAATAAGCAACGATCGAACCTATTATTTATCAATTTAAAGATCGGAGAAACAAGAAGTGATTCATAAATAGAAGTCAAAAATTATTTGTAAAATATAAATTTTTGCAAGGATTAAGTACAAAATAAGTGCTCTAAATAAAATCATAAGAATAATTGAAAATTCACGGAATGATTCACCATGATTAGTCGTCAGATGATAATCGACTCAGTTTTATAAAAAACGCAATGTCTCAAAATTTATACTATACCGAGGTTCTAGTATTGTTCGATTGTCCAGCCCAACTTGGTCCAGGCTGATCTGTGGACTCGTTTGTCCGATCGTTGTTCCTGTTAGTGGCGTTGTAAAGGAAATTATTGATCAAGAACGGCGGAGGCGTATGTGGCGGAGTTGGCGGCGTGTTCTGCCTTCTTCGCGGATTACCGGAAAGATTGTCCAAGTCATTAACGGGCACGTTGTTCACCTGTAGCTCAGGAACGTTAAATTCTCGTCGGAGAGACGCGCCCTCCCTGTTGTGGGGGAATCTGCGATTGTTATTCGGATCGGAATTGCCGTATCTGTGCAAAGGACGCTCGAGCAATGACGAGCATGCGCCCCGCGCATATTGGCGAGCCCAACGGGTTCTCTGATGTGACGGTCTGCCGCTTTGTTCATCTCCCGATGAAGTGTAAGAAATGTAGTTCCTCCAGCTCTCGCTGGCACGCGTACTGGAGTCAATCTCTTGCGGACCCCTCGATTCGTTGATGCGTCTCACCGCCGGCTCGGATACCGTAGCATTTCTGTAATTCCGCCTGTAGCTCTCATTCGAGTTTCGCGACTCGTTTGCAGCGTCTATTGTACGATTCTCAACTCCCGCCCTGACATCGGCACGTTCGTCGTTGTCGATCGAACTGCTACTTTGGATTCTCTCCACAATACTCTGCACCTCTGCCGACAGGGCGTTTTCAGAAGTTGACTGGCGATTATCTTCGTTTTGTGCATTATCGTCATAATTATTATCGTCACCGTTATCGTTAGGTCTAGCTGTCGCTGGATCGTTGGTTTGATTTTCGGATGCATTATTACCGTTTTGAGTTCCTTGTCGATGACGAAACAGCCGCCTTAATTGTTGCGCCATAAGGCGATAACGTCTATTCCCGTGTACTGAAAGAAGCTCTTCCGCATTTGGCATCTCGTCACGATTCCTCGGAAATCTCTCTCTGTCGGCGCTTCGTCTTGGCGCGTTATCGCTCGCGCGATGCAAACTTTCCGTTTGCAGACTATTGTCAACGCTATTATTACCGCGCGTGTCGCTTCTGTTTTGGTTGTTAACTGATAAATCAGAAGTGAAAGGTCCGTATTGACTAGATTCCAGCTCTCTTCTTGTTATTACCAGCTGTGCTAACAATAAGTCTGTTAGCTCCAGTGCCAGATGTAACAATACGTACAATTCTGAAAAGAAAGAAAAACATAAATCGATATAAATTAACAATTAAGAGATACACAATTTAGAGAATGTAGAAAACATGGGATTACTTTATATAAACATTCATGTTTTCAAGAAAATCAAATATGTCAATTTCAGATACTTTTTCCTTTTTTAAAATTGACGAGTAATATTAACTTCTCAATATTCAGAATTAATACTTTTGAAGATGACACTGCATGTAAAAAAATTTTATCTTGCGTTTCAGGGTTACTTTTTCATGTAGAATCATTACTTTTCCAATTATATTACATTTCAATAATTTATAATCTTACATAAAACACGATAAACTTACTGTACATCTGTTCATAGAGAACATTGCTTTGGGAACCGTTTCCTGATCTCGTTACTTCGAAGAATTGGATCAGAGATCGCACCATCAAGCCGAGGACTTGTCTGAAATAATATTAATTGGTCCGAATATATTACTAATTATTCGCATAACAAAAATTCTTGGAAATAATGTATACTTGCTCAATATCTTAATTTCGTTATAATATTTTAATGTTAATATGTTATATTATAGAATGTGTTGTCCTGCCTACCTAGCTCTTAATCTTGTAGCTTCGCGAATCTCTTCCATTTCCCGATTATCATTCTCTCTATTAGTTTCCGATTGGCGATTATTACCATTCAACCTTCTATTGCTGTTCCGAGCTAAGGCCCTCTGCTGTCGGACTAGCAATTCCAGTCGTAGGATCATTTTTTGTAGATACTCAGATGTATTCGAACCTCGCGTTCTATCCCGGATATCTATATCTACATCTAAATTGTCGTTATTACTGCTGTCATTATTTTGGGATGCATTTCTGCGTAAATGCCACGGTCTTCTGACATGTTCGCAATGACGAAATGGATTATTGGGAGCCTGAGACCTAGAGCTTTGTCTACCACGAAGCGATTTCAGCGACCATTTTAAACGTCTGAAAATTGAAATATATTAAACGGAATAACAATCTATTTTTAGAAAGACAATTACAATGTATTTAATATATTATTTTTTTTTTCAACTAATAAATTTGTGTAAAAAGATTTTTTCACATAAAAGTTACTTTACTTTTTTAAGTAATAATCTAACTATAAATTCAAAATATCACTTGTTTTCGTATCTTTACTAGTTAAATGCATACTTGTTTAATTAACACTTTTAAAACAAAACGCACTGTCTCTATAGAATATATGCACATAAATACCGGAGATATATCTTTTGTCTGGTATATCTCATAGGTTCAGATGATGATGTGGAAGGTGAAATCCTGGCCCTTTGATTCGTTGGATTTCGCTTAAAAGGAGAACTGATTTTACTATCGCCGTTCCTGCTACTGGTCGCGTCGCTGGTCGCGGGATAATTAATATTCGTATTCGATGCCTGGGTCGATCTGCTGGGACCGGCACGATCGAGACCGCTGACGAAACTCGAGATGCTGGGTAACGGTTCCGACTCGGTCGTTATCGCAGTGACCGCCGGTAAATTCGAATTAGCTCCGATATTCGACACGACGCTGGACATACTGGGCAACTGCACGTCACCGTCGGTCGTCAAACTAGAATACGTGTGGTCGTTCATCGCCCGCGCGTCGGTGACGCGAGAATCACAGTTTTGGCAGCGCGAGGTCAGCCGCGCGTACAAGCCGTCCAGCATCTCGTTCAATTTGAGACACTGCATCCGCCGTAATTCAGCGTCGCTCGGAAGCAGATTCGAAAGACTTATATTGCTCTCCTCGACATTACGGGTGCTGGACGTTGGCTCGTCCGCGTGAGTCCTCTCGAGGCCGGTAACTCCGCTCGATGTCGACGGCTGACTCTGATCGTATGATCTCGCGTCAGTACGATCGCCCTCGTTACTTTCCCTCTGATAGTTCTCCAAGAGCGCTTTCTTGAAATTCCTCGCCGATTCATTCGATGAATTTGTAGCCGACGTTGACGGACCAGGATTACCAGCCGCATTGTCTCTTTGCGTCTCTGCCTGATCGCCGTTCTGTCTCTCTACACGGACCGTCACATGCAATGATCGTATTTGTCGTTGTAGATCCTCCCACATTTTGCGCACTTGACACAGCTGGACTATTTCTAAGCGTGCTCTGTTAAGAAATTGAGAAAATTGTTATTTTTTTATTGACACAGGAACCAAAAGAAGCAATACAAAATATTGTAATTCATTTTCTAATGTTGCTTTAACAGTATAGTATTGTATATACTTAATATATACTTAATATATATATATATATATATATACATATAATCTACAATCTACGTAATCTCGTGTTTATTTATTTTATTTCCATTTCAAATGCTAAACAAAAAACTTTCGAAAAGTTATTGCGTTCAAATAAATTCCCGAAAAGTTACAATTCTTGCAGTTTACAATATCGATTAATATTGAATTTTTTAATCAACATTGTATCAAATCTATGCAAAATTTAATCAAAAAACATTTCATCTCTAAATTATTACATTAATTGTAATAAATTCATGATACATATACATACATTAATCATAAAAAATATTAAATTTACATTTTTAAAATATAATTCGAGTTATATAATAGTAGTCATGTAAAATCCCATCATATCGTCAACTTACCGACACAAGCGATGCATGTTGTCGATATGACGACTGAGCAACTGAATCCCTTGTCGAACTCCCAGTGAACTCTCTCTTGGATCTATATTGTCAGCACCGAGCATTATCGGATCTATAATGTAGTCGATATCCGGGTCATCTGCGTTTCGTTGCTCCTGATTCTGTTGTTGTTGTTGTTGTTGCCTGTCGCTCGTTGTCGATCTGCCCTCGCGGTTAGTTACATTAGCGATTCTCGTTGCAACGGGATCGTTAACCGTTCTTGACAATTCCGCAAATCCCGCTAATGTCGCGCGCATTGTGCCCGAATCAGACGTCTGCGATTGAAGGGGAGTACTATCGGAGTTGTTGGTATTGGGTGTTTGATTTTGTTCTACCCTTTGGGATTGATTTTCTCGTAAACTTCTAAACGGGAACAACGGTGGTTGCTCGTAACGAGTAGGATTCGCAGACACAGGTGATAACTGATTCCTTTGCTCTCTGTTATCGTTAATATTTTGTTCTGCGTCTTCCGAAAGGGGCCTCGGTAAAGTTTGTTCGTTCGGTGAGTCGTTGGTATACTCCGAGTTTCTGCTAGAAGTATCCAATTGTATCCATCGACTAGTCCACCGACGAGAGTTCGAGTTGGTGTTGGAGTTCGTATCATCCAAATTTGAATCTGAATTACTGTTTTCCTCGAGCAGCCAATATCCATTCTCCGAGTCGTCTAATAATACTTGTTGGGTAGTATTATTGTTTTCCATCCGGTCCGCATGCAAATTTCGAAGGATTTGCAGAACATCTATCACTCTCCTGAGTAAAGGTGAATTTCTAAATGTTAAAAATTTCAAATATATGACATCTTCAAAAAGTGTACATAAAATATATGATGGAAAAAAATCTCAACAAAATATATTAAAACTTAAAACTTAAAAATAAAAAAGATTCAATGAAGTATACTCACCCTTGTCTGCGACTGAGTTCTTGAGATCTTATTTCTTGCATATTTCGCGTAATCCTTGATGTTCTATTATCTTGGTTGTTATCTTCGTTTAATTCGTTATTTAAACTGTCAAGTAAATTGTTCCTATCTGTTTCGTCTAATCTGGGAGAACTAGTTGTCGCTTCTTGATTTTGCGAGCTGCTCGCTCGTTGCGCGACGGGTTTGGGGACATTTGGTTGAAACGCTGAGTGAGTTGAAACTGTAAAGTTAGATGCGCCATTACGGGATGTCGATGCTCGCGAATAACCTTCATCACTCGAAGATGAGGTGTCTTCTAGAATAACAGAATATAGATTTTAAGTCAACAATAGTAATCTTATTTTTCTATTTTATATACTTGCAGTTCTGTTCAAGTAGAAATATTACCAATATAGGATAACGGCATTGGTATGGAAAACTCAATAGGCCCCAATTTACGCTTTCGCCGCCTCGGCGGTTCGTCCTCCGTGTTCAAGGCATCAAATCGTCTTCTCGTTGCCCTCCCAGTACTTCTTGATGAAGTACCAGCGTTTTCACTATTATTGGCATTGGCATCGGACCACATCGTGCCACGCTCTTCGTTCTCACCGGCGTAACTTGTGCTAGGAAACACATTGGATTCCAAATCGCGCAGTCTCGAAGACAGCATTGATGATGCGGAACTAGTGCTGGGAACTTGTCCGTCATTCGGAGTAAGAGCTCTCCATTCGGCCTCGGTTAAATTCACCTGCGAAGGGTCGGTCGCGATATGCCGATTTCGCGGCAGAATACCATACATGGTGAATTCATCTCGCAACCGCTCGATCCTAGAACTCGTGTTAGTAAATTGCGCCTCCATATTGTTAAGCGCTTCGATCTCGTCGTTCAGAGCATTTCGAAGCAGCTGAAGGCGAGAGTTACGGTTGTTAGAATGCTCGAATAAAGTCGCGGTCTGCCGCTGTAGCCTTTCCCGCAATTTCTGCAATCGCACCAAGCACGAGCTATTATTCTCGGCGGCGGCGTTCAGAGCCTCTCTCAAATTCTGAAGAGTAGTCCCAATCTCCTCTTGCTCGGAACGTTCCATCAATAATCGCTGACATCGTTGCAACCTTTCCAGATTCGTGTTATTCGCTTGCGCGCTGGAATTCAATTCGTTCCTTAATCTTCGTATAGATGATTCAGTCGCCGCCGATTCGTTTCTATTACTAGACTCCTCAAGATTAGAGGATAACGCTTCCGGCATATCCATGGGGTCAGTGCCACGGTCGATCTTCAAAGAAAATCAACATATTCTTTACACACGCTTGATAAAAGGGAAAAAATTCTAGTGAGATTGCAACATATATAGCTCACAGTATCTCTATTTCTGGAAACGTCGAAGTAACGTCTTACGAGCGTCACATATTGATCGACGAGATCTCTGTAACATAGATTTATTCTTCTTTCCGGATCTTGAGAATTGCTCCCGCGCAACCTTTCGTCCACGCCGAACCACACGTTGTTCAATCGCTGGTTAAACTCGTCCCTGGGACGAGAGTCGTTTATGGCGCTAGATTCTCGATCGCGCCTCCTCACGGAGCTCGGCAAATCATCGTCGTTGCTGTCGTCCGCCGATCTGTTCTCGGCATTGTCCGTGTTCGCTGGATTGCCGGTCGGACGAAGTGGATTTCTCGTAATGCTTGGAGAAGATGTAGCCTCCCTAGTTTGATTCAGTTCTACATCGTAAGGCATAAAACTATTACGATGAATCTCGATTGTTACAAATGGAGTTGCATTAGTTCACAGTATCCGTAATTGACACGATAGTATAATGTACCTTCGGACAGATTTCGTCGCCGATGAAACCGCGTTTCCTCTTGCCGCACGCTGTTTCTAAACTGTTGGTGATAATTGGCAAATCGTGAGAAACTGGACATTTCATGGCCTCTGCGCATAAACAGATACGCACTGAAAAAATTTATATTCAAATTTCGCAAATTTCCCGATGAATTTCGATGATTTTGCATTGTATAATTTAAATACCGAGAAGGTCTGTCTACAGTGTGACTGTCTGCCGATCCTCTTCCGTAAAAAGAGCCATGGTTCCACAAGTGAAAAGGCGAAAGTTCGATATCTGGGAAATTTTCTCGTGGCTGATACCTAAAGTTCCTAATTTTTTCAAGATTAGTTAAAATACAAAGTTATTTGGAATGACGCACATATAACAAAGGAATAAGTAAAAGATACAGATTTTTTGATAAAAAGAAATACAATTCAAAACTGAGATATTCAATTTTACCTATTTGTTTGTAAAAATAATTATAAATAAAAAATAAGATTATTAATAGATTTATAATAAATATTTCATTGTTTTTGTATTCCAAAATTCAAACTTTTTATTTAAAATTGTGAAAAATATCCAGATGTTAATGACAAACAGATCCATATCTAAAATTTATTTATACGCGCAATATTCACGTCATAGTGTTTTTACTTACATCAAACTAGTTCTAAGTAATTGTCCCACGGGAGCCCGATCCCATTGTGATTGTACTTGCGGCGTATTTGCAATGCCTGTGATTAGTTTTCTTCCTAAACTGTCAAAAGCTACATATCTGTAATTTTTACAACGTAAGATATAGTTTCTCGTAACATTTTTTTCCGTATATCATAGTCTATGATGCAATTTCTTTTAAAATTACCTCACTTTTTCTTTGTCAGTCTTTGTAGCAGTTACAGCAAACGGTTGAGACTTACTCCAGTCCCAGAAGTGAATTTCATTATATGTGGCTATAACTAACAATCTTTCAAAGGGATGGAACGCGAGTGAAGCGATAACGGTATGGCTGTCAGCATTCCAAATTTCGCTACCACCCTACACGGACAAATTTGCGTTGTGAGTCATCAAACGCATTGCCGTTTCATGCCGAAGTAAATTATATATAATTCCAAAAATTGTACTCACACTTAAATCCCACACGCGAACTTGACCTCCTAAGCAACCGGACGCTAAGATCTGACTGGAGGACGGGTGAAAAGCTATGCACCAGGGAGTACGTGGGTGTCCGGACAAAGTTCTAATATTCTTTCCCGTTGTAATTTCTGTGATATAAACATTGTGATTCCCATGTGTAGATGCTACCATGGTCCTGAAATTATTGTTTCATAAATCTGTAATTTCCTCTAATGTTCTCCATTGCATTATTATAAATAAAAGTAGCTACTGTGCGCATGTTACTTCGTTCTTTAACTTATTAGCATTACCTACTTTCTAGTAATCACACAACAAAATATATTATTATATTTTGCCCATTGCATCTTACCCATCAGGACTGAAAACCATTAGGAAAGTGGCTCTAGGAACACCAGGTAATTCACATTTCTGCAAATAAACAGACAACACTTAGTATGTTACTTTGCTGTAACATATGTAGCAATAAATATGTATCATTATTAACTCAGCCATTAGAAACTGATGAAGTTGGAGAACAAAAGTCGTTGTAGAAGGCTATTTTATCAGGCATTTATCGTTGTACTACATCTACTTGGGCCTTCACAAATTAGAGATACAGACACACGAAAAACACTGAAGTTACACAAGTTGTATTATACAGCTATTAGATGGTCGGATATAGAAGTATATACCAATTCCTTGTGGTCCCTCAGGACAAAGTTTGCTTCAGCTATGGGCTCCAATTCGCGCGTACTGGTCTTATGCGTCGTGCGTAACCCAAAATCCCTCAGCATCAAATTGCGCAGTATATTGTGCGACTTGCTGCGGTGGAGCAACTCCGGTCTTTTCTTGACTTTCCCCATTTAGCTGAATGTCCTTGCAACACCTCTAAATAAATTGCAAAATATATTACGGCATATAAATACAGCCCTAAGAATATATATATATTTTTTAAGAAAATAAAAGCACTCTTCTGATATACCATAAGTAACTCGTTTGACAAATTTAAATATTTCCTATTACCAGTTCTACTTTGTTTTTCTATCATTATCTATCTTTCCTCATTTTTTTTCTTTGCTATATATTTTCTTATATTTTGTTATCAAGCTTTTTACAGTTTCTATGCCTCAAAATATATAAAATACATGTGTATATTATATATATAAATAAAATTATATATGTACATATACATATATAAATTTATATTTTTCTGTCGTAATTCTCATTCGAGAAGGTCGAGAATAAGTGCATGTAGAAATACTTTCAATTTCGACAAACATCACGGGCCTACTGCTGTCTTGCTAGAGTAATCCGCATCAAAGATATATAATATATTGTTAAGGTAGGTTAAGCTCTCACAGAAGCGCCCATACCGATCCCAACCGAGAATCTCGACGAAGGGCAGCGCGACTACGCGAAAGGATTAGCGGACGCGGCGTTCGTAATTCGGACAGTATTGGCGATCTCTTTCTGGCGGCGTTCGCTCGCGGGGTTCGATCCACGTCGATAAGCTAATTACTGATGCGCTGGGTGGCCCGGAAATAGCAATGTCGTACGAGCCGAGACAAATTCCGAATTTGCGTCCCCTCCCTCTCCCTGAGTCTCTTTCTCGTTCCTCTCGGCCCCTTTTCGCACGGACGGACGGACGGCAATTCCGTTTACCTGCGAGAGTTATCGTTCCGCCAGGATGACGGGCATGGAAGAGAAGGATACGCCTCACTCCGCGTACACGACGAATGTAAATTTCCAATCGCGTATCCTATCGAAACACATCGTTGTCCTCCATTAGCTCGTTCGGACGTTCGGAGTATTGTGGACTATCGCGAGGCACTGCGGACCCTCGGGCCTCGAGCTCGTCGGTCACGATGTTTTTCGACTGATTAAATTCGTGGTGCATCGCTAGATGACACTAATCTTACGAGTGGCGCGGAGAGGGGGGAGAAAGAGAAAGAGAGAGAACTAGAGAGAATGTGTGTGTGTGTAAATAAAAATGCAATATTCTCATGGGAAAGCAAGAACATAATTTTAATCTTCTTCAATTAAATAATTTTAATTATTTTCTATTATTTTTAATTGATAGTACAATTTTTATTGGCGCAAATCGCCTATTTATTTAACATGTTTGATATATACTAGAGGGAGTTTTTCGTCAATAAACAAATAAATAAAATTTGAAAGTATTTATTTATTATAATAGAATATGCCTTGTAAGCTTCCATCGCGCCTACACAACAGTATATATTTTATACATTATAAATTTCTCTTTGATATCTCATAATTAAATTCTTATATAAGTTCTTATATACAATTAGGTAAAATAATTTTTGTAGAAATATATTTCCGGCCCTTTCTCCCTAAAATAACATTACGAATATATACAATTGAATCGCTTGACTAGTTAATTTAAGCTGGAACATGATTGCTGAAAACACAGACCCCTCATTCTTTCAGACATGTACGCGAGACGAATTAAAGCGGTCCTTTGCCTGCCGTTGTGACTTAGTGATCCAATATGCGTAGATTGCCTGATACAATTTTATTTTCTAAAACGGTTCCAGAAGGTAGATCTATACGTTCCCCGTGATTGGCGATTATAATGACGGTGCCTTTCAGCGTTACTCCTTTTCCGAAAGTGACATCGCCCGACACCGTCAAATGATCCAATTCGAGGAGATCTGGTATTGTCGGAAATCTGATGAGAAACTCTTTCACCTGTAAGAAAGGCAAAAGAGACTTAGACATCGCTATAATGCAGTTAAAGAGTTACATGAATTTTAACCAAGATTAAAATAAGAGTTAGTCTTACTGACTTTTGAAAAGTGATTGTCTCCTAATTTGATGAGAGGCGTTGTCGGGAACATCCTTTGAGGACTCATCACAAGAGATCCGTTGCGCAGTGTATATAAATTGCTCATTACGAGCATCAGATCAGAAGTCTTTTTCACCGGCAAGAATCTACTGCGCGGTACATTTATACCTGTAGCAAATAAATAAACATTTTTAATTAATCACAATCGTGTACAGAATTGATATAAAATAAAGCAGAATCCTTGAAGAGATAAAGAATTCAGATTAAAGAATAAAGAATTATTTTTATTAAAGCAGGACTGTTATCTCTTTAAACATACCAACACTTCCTTCGAATGATTTCATAGCGGCTCCTACAGCTGTTTCAAGTTGTATTATATTTAGGCCATTGGGAAAAGTTTTGTTGTTTACAATTATCTCCATATTCAACGCTTTTTGCTCAAGCACTCTCTCAATAGCTGTTAAAAAAAACGACATATGTTAAATACGGCTTTAATATTATATGGCATACATGATATTTATTTATTATATGGCATTTATTTATTATGTGGTATGACAAATTTAAATATACATACCACTAAGTTTAATCCAGAGGTTGTTAGTGTTGAAATACTTAAATGTCTTAATGGACTTAAAATCGTCGATATGATCCTTGGGAACTTGAGCTATTTCAAGGAGACGAAGTTTATCCTCGTATTTTATAAGTGTACCACCCTATAAAATAAAATATATGTATAATTAGGTCTGTCTCATAGCGCTATTCCAGACATATTCTCCAGACGTACTTCTCACGAAACGCACCTTGACATCCGCTCGCGTTTTGTCGGTTACTTCCATCACAAATTCAAGAGATGGTTCCGGCCTTTTACTCAACAACGACTTCAAGATTTTAATATCCACCGTAGCACCAAGATTATCTATGTTCGAGATAAAACAATATTCGCGGCCCTGGAAAGAATCAGAGTTTCTTTTAAGCGGATTGTTGCTATTATTTACGAACACCGAAAATGAAATCTCGTTACCTCACGAATGAATTTTTTAAGTAAACCAGAGTTTTGGAAACTCTCGTAGAAGTCTCCGTGGCCGGGTGGGTACCAGCTGTTAACAAATTATACATTATTTTGCATAAACGTTTAAAAAAATATTAATGGTGACTTTATGAGAACTGTCTTACGCTTCTATATCCTCATCGATTTGACAGTGCTTAGCGATCGGGAGGAGGGAATCCCTGTTTATGCGCGGATAACAGCTCTGATTAAAAGTGTAAATATCTATATCGATTCCTTTGTACTTCCTAATTATCCGTTGCGTATCGTCGTCCGTGTTGAACGAGTTCATCAGTATGAGTGGCACGTTAGCGTTATACGTTTTATTTAGGTGCTGTTACAACAGAAATGCATTATCAATTATTATTTATTGTTATAGTCTTATAACTAATAAGTGACTATATATGTAAATGGTAAAAATAAACTGTTAGCTATGATTATTTTGCGATACCTCGATTTGTTGAACGGTAAGATCAAGAAACGTGAGTCCATTTCGCACAGCGATAACGGATTTCGGCCCGTGGCATCCCATGCTCGTTCCAAGACCACCGTTTAATTTGACAACAATCAACTTGTCCAGCAGCTCCTTCACCTCGTTCGTCTCCGGCGATGGCAAGGAGTTGTAATCCTTGACCTATGAAAAAAAAGATTTCGACTTAATTTGATTTTCCTAGTAGTTAATAGAATTCATTAATCAAAGCAGACTGACAAGATACGTCTCGGAAAATTTCTAGAAGATGGTTTTATAAAATCTCAATGTTTCTTCAATAAATCATCGTAATAATATCGATACAATTTAATTCATTATTAATCAATATAGAGTTTGTTAATTAAAACGGACTAAAGAGCTACACAGAAGTCACAGAACTACGGCTACACAGGATATCGTTTACATTTCTTCAAAGGAAGAAAAGGAGAGCGCTAGATCTCCTCGCGGCAGTTTTTCCGTCTACACGGTCGGGTTTCACTCACCGCATCTTCGGACAGCTTCTGAATGTGGTTCCACTCCAAGGACGGGCCCTCCTCCTGCAGAAATCGCTCGAACAGATGCTGGAATCCGGAGAACTGCCGGCCGATCATCGCCTTCTTGTCCTCGCGGGCGGTCGCCCCCAGCTTCTCGAGCTCGCGCTGCAGCTCATCCCGTGCATCTCTCTTCGTACGCTCGCGGAACGCCTGTGTATCTGAAGAGCTGCGTTGGTGACCGCGTGCCTGTGGAGTTTTCCTCCGAGGTATAGACTAGATCTTTTATTATTTTTTTTACCTATCCTTTTCGCGAAGTCTTCCGAGTCCGATCCGCTAAACTGCTCGCCGCAATTCGAGAGATCGCGCATGATTTTTCGAGACCGTAAAAAATCAATTACAAAAAAATAGAAAAGGAAAAAAAAGGAAAAAAAATAAATAAATCGTGTATATGCGTGCGATGACTCGGGGTGTCCGACCGCCGTCTCAAAAGTTTTCGTTTAAAATCTCCCGCGTCGGGGCAAAATTCCCATGTAGAAATGCAATCACGCAAAAATCGCCCGCAATCCGTAATCAACTGCGTCGCTAATGAGCGAAGACGAACTCCGTTTTTTTCTTTTTTTTCTTTTCTTTTTTTTTCTTTGACATGCGACGAATCATCGTGAATTTGTCTGTCTTGAAAAGCGACCAGCGATCGCGTCGTTCACGCCTAGGCCTAGGAGGTCTCTCGAGGGACGAAATGAATAGATAGTGAGAAAACTATTGGGAAAAAAAACAAGCAGTAAAATAAATTAACGCCGGGATAAATCGCGCACGATAACGATAACGAGTCTATAGCACTATTAAATTCGTAGTGTCAAATTACACTCAATTTGAGTCATTAAAAATTATTTCTATCGTCTATCACTGCCTCTACTCAATATGTCGTTAATTTAACTAAAACAATGTTTATTTATCTAAACTAATAGAATTAAAATAATACTGTTTGTGTTGAAATAATAAATTTTTACACACATGGTAGTTAAAAATAACAGAATGTCATTTAACTCAATGTAGATATTGATTTAAATTTTATCCTTTGATATTTTTAACAGTGAGAGGTGAAAATTATCACAAAAAATACGTAGGTGTCTCAAGACAGGACAGGAGGAAAGAAGAATTTCTTCCGACTCTTTTTCTCCGGATTAATTAAAATTAATCGCGCGATCTATCTTTCATTGTCTTTATGTCGCGGCTAGATATGTAAGTGGATATCTTCGACTAAGCGAGGTGCAGGCAAACGACGGTAGCAGCCAGTAGACCCTGAGGGTGAAGTCTCATGGAGCCAGCGTATATGGCGTACCGGTGTATGGCGTACAGAAGCTTGGCTAATCACAGGCTTTACGCACCTTTTCGTTACGCCAGCACAAACATCGGCTGTCCCATAGAGCGTATTTAAGCAGCGTAATGATTAATAAGCTAATCACAGTGTTGTACAAAGCTTATTTTCAAAATGGATGCTCAAGGGGTCTTGTGATTGGCTTATTGATCATTTCGCCGGCGTAAATACGTCCCATGGGACAGCCGATGAAATTTTCAGCGCAATTTTTAACACATACATTCATACATGAAGCAATATTCCATATGCGTGTACGTGGGTGTGTTATCATCGTAGCATAAACGCTTCAAAAACCAGCGTAACATCTGTGCTGGCGTAACAAAAACGAGCGTAAAGTCTGTGATTAGCCAAGCTTCTTCACCCTGACCCAGTGTCGCGATCGCGTTGATCTCGCTTGCCAAGCGATAATCTGAGATGACCCCTTCACCGGGGACTCTGTCTATTGTTAAGAAAAAAAAAAAAAAAAAAAGAAAATGAAAAATGAAGATAAAGAGAAGAACGATATATTTCATTTTACTTTGACTTAAAGTTCAGATGATATGCTCAGATTTAGTCTTTTCCCTCTTTTTTTCCCATTCTTTTCCCTGCGGATGAGTCGGACGTAAAATGCGCGGGATGTATAATATAATCGCCTATTTAAATATTTAACTTTCAAATGTGTGTGCCGCGATAGTAATA